TCAGGCCCGATGGATTCTTGCAAATGCCATTAAGAGCACTAAGTGGAGCCAGAGGAACCTGAACCTTTTTTTTCACAGATTATCTGTCCCATGTACTACTAATGGGATAGTTTTAGCAAATATGACAAAAGATTATTCTTATAGATATTACCTATTGCAGCTTTAAGTAAAAAAAAATTGATATTCACAAGATTATACCTTGGTTTTTCTGATTTACTGACACAAATAATGCATAGTGAATTAAAACAAATACCAAATATTTAGATTTTAAAACATCTATTATATCCAAAATCAAGCAATAAAAAGAACAGCTTTACTTTTCTCACCAAATGAACAAACTTAATTTTCTGTCCCTACTGATAATGATTTTTGTGGCTGGTCCCCATGGCCTCTACCCTATTATATATGATGCCAGGGTCATGCTTTTGTAAAATACTGGATACATCTGTCTCAGCCTCTCTGTGGCTTTCATAGGAAAGCTATCAGTCAACAAAGAACTGCAGAGAGGAGACAGAAAGAAATAAGAGAGACACACACACACTGTATCATCCACAGATCAATAGTTTGCTAAGCGACCATGGCCTTCTCATTGTTTGATTGCCCGGACACACACAGAGACAGGGAGTGTGTGAGGAAGGATGACAGGATGTGGAAGGGTGAGTTCCGGCCAGATGTGCGTGCGTGTCCTGGTCATGTAGTTGACAGATGGTTTGGGGTGATGTGAGGCAGAGTGTGACTGAAGCAACACCACGGAGGCAACATGAACACACACACACATGCACACACACACACACACACACACACACTGCTGGGCTGTTGGCAGTCCTGCTCTGTCACTCCAGGCCAGACGTTCATTCGCTTGTTTGTTTATTCATTCATTGAGACAGAACTTCATCTCAGTCATGAGTCAGCCAGGCTCCCACTATCAGTCATAACATGTATTTTGTGATTGCGTACTGTATTTATTATGGACTCCATCTTCATCTTGGTATAAGAAACCCACAGAACTATATTTAAGGTCTATACATCTGGTGGTTTATACATTTGCATTTCAAGCACCTGCAGAAAAGTGAGGGTGAACGCGAGCGTAGCAGAGGAAAAAGTTGGAAGTACACTGTCAATCTAGCAGTAAATGTACTTTTAGACTGAAGTGTGTTGGTTAGTCATCTCTTAAGACCAATGAAAGTCCCATCTGTTGTTTCCCAACTGCTGGAAAAGTGAAGTTTCGCCCTAACAAACATCTGCCCTGTGCTTCAGACTACGGTCTGGAAGCCAAGCAGGAAAGATAGCACATCGTAAGGCTGCTATGTATCATTGACATAGACAATATGTTATTACAGCAAGTAGCTAGTAGTAAGCAAGTATGACAAAAAGTTATTTTTAGAGAAGTTACCTACTGCAGCTTAAATGTCTACAGATAAATGTCAAAAGCTGTAAAACCAACTAAATGACTTTTCCCAGATCTAACAGTTGTAGTTGGTCCTCAGTGGACTTCTCTAACTTGTCTTTAGGCTTTTGGGGTATTTTTTGAGTGTCTGCTCTAGCTTTTTCAACTTTTACACACATATTAGGCAATACCTAATAATGGTCCAAACATTCTGTGAAACTGAATATTTTGTCTTCCGCAAACCTAGGAATAATTCTGACATTTTAAGCTCTACTTGCACATTGCAAACATCCTTCCTGCATTATACTGCGAACTTGCACATTCCTGCACAAACTGTACAGCTCTTCATTATTCTATTTAAATAAGGGTTATATTGTACATGTTGTCTCTTTTTATATTTATTTTATTTATTTAAATGTTTCTATGTTTATAACAGTAAATTCCCTGTATGTGAAAACCTACTTGGCAATAAAACACTATTCTGATTCTGATTCTACTTCAACATGTGTGAACACAGGTTGGTGCACAACAGCACCACTCCTGAAAGAAATTTTAGGGGAAACACTGTAGTAATCATTTTTGCAGCAACCCAGTCTCACTCCCAAGTTGTCAAATACTGCCATCAATGGCCCTGCACTTTAAAATATGGCTCTGGAGCTATAGGTAGTGTTTTTATCGAAATTCAAATTCTAGTTCTAGAGCCCATGACACATTGCGTGCTATACAGGTATTCCTTCAAAGTAACGTTGATCATAAAATACATTGACACAAAATGTTACATAAAATATTTCCTGGCCACAAAACTTTGCTATTACACGAGGTGATTTATCAGGATTGTTCACAGTTTTGTGTATGCGATACAAACACTTCTCTCCCAATGACAACAGTCAACAGATGGGTCTATATTACCGAGCCATCATCTGTGTTTTCACAAGCACTCGCTCTCTCTCAGCTCGCTGTATGTGGCAGTGTAATGGCTTTCAGTTACAACAAAGTGCAAACATTGATCCTGACAACAGAACAACATCTGTGGACTTGTTAGGCAAATGAACAAGTGCTAAACAGCAGAAAAGAGAAGCTGCTGTAACAGTGCCAGATGCCAAGACACACACACACACACACACACACGGACAAAGCAATGTATGTACAAGTTAAGAAATACACACATCCTTCCTCTGACACACCTCACATTAACACACTCATAAAGCATTAATTATAGCCTGCAGTTCTTGTGGAAAACATGACTGGATTAATAAGAGAGTTACACTGTGGCAGCTGACATTTCAAAGGGGGGTTCTAATTGATGGGAACTGTATTCAAAATGTCATTTCATTACATGCATTATATTACTGTGAGTAACTGCAAACATTCTGACTGGTCAAACAGGTCAAGTCAACTTTATCTATTTAAATAATGAAAAGCAGCATTGTGCAGCAAGGAAACGGTGGACATTTACAAATTATGAAGATTGTTATACATCCTGCATATACATCTATATAGCCCAAGTTAGACGCCTGCTGTGGCTACACAGTTTGACAAATAAAAGTCTTTGGATATATAAACCTCTTAAAGCCCTGCTTTAACTAAATAATTAACCAGAACAAGTCAGTCAGGATTGTCCATTCCAGGGTTGACATGTTTTTCTCTGATACATGGCTGAAGTTCCTCTCAGTCTGTTCAGAATGTATGGGCTTTGTTTTTAAGGTTTATTTCACCCATTTAAAAACTTGATTTCTGACAGAGAGGTCTGCCATAAACTGTGATGTGACCTTGGCTGACTGCAACAACCGCCATGCAGATGAGCCCGGACACACACACACACACCCACACACACACACACACACACACTTTGTATAATAGAATCTCTGGGCTGTGTTATGTATGTTTGAGAATTTGCTGGGGTTATTTAAAGATTTTCACCCACCGAGTGCTACCTCGTCTATCAACTAATTCATTCTCCAGTCACACTGTCCCTACTGGGGACATCACACTGTCACTCTGCGTGAGAGTGAGCAAGTGTGTATTGTCATTAATGTCCAACCAAAATCACTGTTTGTCATTATTTATTGCACTCAAACTGGCGTCAAAGAGATTTGATTTATTGTTATTATTTTTCTATTATTGAAAGGAGGGAAAAAAAGCTGTTTGGAGGTTCATTACAAATACTCCTTTAACCTTCAAACCTCAGACTGGGCGCCGTGTGTGTGTGTGTGTGTGTGTGTGTGGGTGTGTTTGATTGACAACTCAGCCGGCAGGAGTATGTAAACAAACAAACTGCTTACTGTAACTTTAAAGCCATTGAAAGACAGGGTTTTGTTAGCAGTGCTGTATAACAATAAGGAACACACTGTTAAGCATCTCAACTGACTGATAAGTATGGGCTGATATTTGTGTCA